AACAAAAGTAAAATTTCAACTTGTTTTAATTAAAATAGTAGTTTAAAAAATAAACTGATGGGAACGTTTAGTTTTATGTTATGACTAACTTATGGTCACAAACAAAAGTAAAATTTCAACTTGTTTTAATAAAAATACTAGTTTAAAAAATAAACTGATGGGAACGTTTAGTTTAATGTTCTGACTAACTTATGGTTACAAACAAAAGTAAAATTTCAACTTGTTTTAATAAAAATACTAGTTTAAAAAATAAACTGATGGGAACGTTTAGTTTAATGTTCTGACTAACTTATGGTTACAAACAAAAGTAAAATTTCAACTTGTTTTAATTAAAATAGTAGTTTAAAAAATAAACTGATGGGAACGTTTAGTTTTATGTTATGACTAACTTATGGTCACAAACAAAAGTAAAATTTCAACTTGTTTTAATTGATCACCTTTATGTTATATGATATAGCAACATGAGTTGGTTTCTTAAGAAACATTTGATAACTATATAGACATTATTAAGATTTTGCATGTGAAATTTCAAAATTTTCTGATGCATAAAAGTATTTTTAATTTTAAAATGAAAATTACTTTGCATGATAGATAGGCAAGATGTGAAAAGAAAAAAAAGGCATGAGAGAAACATTGCTATACAAACCTACCTTAAGACTTAATAAAAAATTTATATTTTGTGTATGAAAGCATTGTAATGTTTACTGATAATCTGCCAAATTTCGTTAATATTCACTTACTAATTTAAAAGTTATAGCATGAAAACTATAACAATCACAAAACGGTTAGACACTCTTCACTCTGAAATTACATATCAAGTCGTTACAAGTGAAAAGTAATGCTTCATGACAGTAAGAACTCATCAAATTAACTTGTAAATAATAAAATTCTAGAATTATATATAGTTAATCACCTTGTCAGCTAGTTCTCGAACTGCTCGATCTTTCTCTTCCTTGTAGTCATTTTCAAGTCTCTCTTTAAAATCTTTAAGAAGCTTGCTATAGTTGTTGCTACAGGCACAACTATCACACAGTGATTTACCGTCTGGTTTCTCGGACCCACCTTTAGGTAGTAAACCACTTAAAAGCTGTGGTAAAGTAATGATAATGAATCTCAACTCCGTCAAATGTTAAACAAACCTTCTTAGCCACTACAAGATATTTCACAAATAAAAATATTTCTAACACTAAAAAAATTATGTTTAAAAATGTGACAAACGTGACAGGTGGTACAATATCATTAGGATAGAGGAGTAATCATTCCCTGTTAATCTACTGTAAATCACAATCTACGATTTTCTTTTGTATTCATTTTGATTAATAATTCAAAAATACCATTTCTAAACTATCACATTTTTCTTTGTATTTAATGAAAGTTTAACGGTAGTTAACATTATTACCTCAGAATGACTGTTTTGTTTTATTTAACATTGCTAACAAATACAGGTCAACAAAATAGGCCATGTGAAGAAAATAAATGTGATGATCACTTATTCATTTTCAGTATCTTATTATCATCCATCCTACCTTTTTTGGAGTCTGTGTACAAACTGAAACTTTAGCTAATGGTGACTCCTGACTGGATGATGATACAACATTGTTATCATCAGGTGATGCAGCTTCCTGCGTAAGAAACAAACTAACTTTCAAATAATATGTAAACAATGCTATTCTTATAGATCGTTTATAAATAATATGTAAACAATGCTATTCTTATAGATCGTTTATTCAACCTATTCCACTAAAACAAGTTGAAATTTTACTTTTGTTTGTGACCATAAGTTAGTCATAACATAAAACTAAACGTTCCCATCAGTTTATTTTTTAAACTAGTATTTTAATTAAAACAAGTTGAAATTTTACTTTTGTTTGTGACCATAAGTTAGCCATAACATAAAACTAAACGTTCCCATCAGTTTATTTTTTAAACTAGTATTTTGATACAATCAAATAAATTAAACGTTAACAAAGTATCATATTTATTCCTCTATATACATATGATAAAAATAATTTTTTAACAAATTATTTAAAAGACTTCAAATTTCACTTTGTTGAGTCAGAAAGAGAAATAATTTATTTTAACATAAAACATCAAAGATGATAGAATATAGTCTCATTAAGAGAGAGAGAAAAGATAGCGTATTGAAAAACTGTTAGACGCTCTTCATCCTGAAATCACATGTTAACCCTTTTGAGACGGGTCACAGGTGAAAGGCCATGTCATCTTGTTTTTGACTCACATTCAAAATTTTATTGAACTACTATTTCATGAATTTATGTCTAAGTTTGGTATCAGACTGTAGATTATGATTCAAATTTTTGTACTATATTAAAAAAACACAGATAAACATCAATTTTTTGTGTGTCACGTGGTATGTTGAATGCAGCACTGGTTTAAATTAGATGTTTATGAAGTCAAAATACTAAGTTTATAGTTTCATACAAATCAGAAACTCAAATTACAGATATTGACAAGCTATAATGTAAAATAAGAAGGTCTTATCTTTTCTATTTGCTAAGATATTGCTCACATAATACATCAAATACAGTGGCAACCCGCTCACCTCTTTCCATTTTTGAAAATGCTCCCTTATATACACATACTTCTATATATATGACATGAATAACCAATCGGAAGCTCAAAATGTCCCCCTAGTGGTTTTCTCATCCTTTCTAATGTACCTAATGCCATTTCTTTCTTTTAAACCAAGATTTCAATGAGGTAGGTTGTGTCTTTAGTCTGCTCGAAATTTCATATTAATTTACAGCTTAATTACTAAGTTTGATAAATTATAGATGAATTCTATGGTATTGATGTAGTAATTTATGATTTTTTTAGATATTCAAATGTATATATAAAACCTAAAAAAAATATTTTGTTTCATATTCTCCATGTACAAAATTTTTAAAGGCTTAGCAACCTACATCAAGCAGCAACTGAGTACAAAGGTCGTAACTAGAAGAGATAATTGTTTGCTTTACTTCTTTATTTACTGTTCTATGTTTAGGAAAATAACTTTAAGAACTTATTTCAAAATAGTGACAATCTATATACATATATAATGTATAATAATTGAAATGTGACTGTATTTTACAAAATACTAGTCGACTAAAACATAGCCAAGACAAGTTACTTTGTACAAACCAAAGTATTCTAGTAAATATTTTAGATTCTATAAATAGTACTTAACTTATTTGATTGTATGTATTTAGTAAATATTTTAGCATTATATAAATAGTACTTAATTTATTTGATTGTATGTATTCTAGTAAATATTTTAGTATTATATAAATAGTACTTAATTTATTTGATTGTATGTATTTTAGTAAATATTTTAGTATTCTATAAATAGTACTTAATTTATTTGATTGTATGTATTTTAGTAAATATTTTAGTATTCTATAAATAGTACTTAATTTATTTGATTGTATGTATTCTATTAAATATTTTAGTATTCTATAAATAGTACTTAATTTATTTGATTGTATGTATTTTAGTAAATATTTTAGTATTCTATAAATAGTACTTAATTTATTTGATTGTATGTGTTTTAGTAAATATTTTAGTATTATATAAATAGTACTTAATTTATTTGATTGTATGTATTCTAGTAAATATTTTAGTATTATATAAATAGTACTTAATTTATTTGATTGTATGTATTCTAGTAAATATTTTAGTATTATGTAAATAGTACTTAATTTATTTGATTGTATGTATT